GTCTAGTTCAGTGTCTCACAAAATAATGGCCACAAGTCGATCTAAATGGAGACGAACAACAGAACGCAGGTGATATGCACGGAACAACAGACGTGATAAAACGAGCCATAAAGGAGAGGATCTAAATACTTGTTCTTTATAAGGAAAGGAATTAAATCCGGGCGAAAAGGCACGAGCGTTCGGTTTTCACTGCCTAAGCTGAAAGTCTGTCAGTCCTAAGTAAGTTCGGAAAGGTCCAAAATGGGCGTTTTGAAACTAGGCACTTTTTATTATTTACTAGAAAATGGTTGGTCGTGTCCTTCAGCTGTTGACCTCAGTGCTCGTGATTCTGTGCAAAAATGCGGGGAGACCATAAAGGAACGTCTGGCTACTTGCTTATGGATGCGTAACTCAAAAAGTGTCGTTCAAATAATACTAAAAAATACTGGCAAAAGTAGCTTATTTAGACCCACTCATATACCCCTAGTTCCAGTATTTTGTTCTGCAAAAACGGTGGTTATATAGTTATGGGGGTGGGGAAATAGGATAGGTAGAGAAGGAATTTTTAGAAGTAAGCGTAAAGTGAAAAAATGTAGTCGAAGTCGCTTCCCGCGGCCGTTGGGAGTTAGTTGTTCTGCATGTAAGCTGAAGGTGTGCGCGGCACTTCGCGCCGTGGACTATACTAATCTAACTCAAGAGCGGTAAGTTGGACCCCAGGTAAGTTGAAGTAGACGACCTCCTCACCACTATATCACTTTTTCGGGAAATTCAAGAAACCTGCAGTTTGATAATCGGGTTTTTCCGCAATAGGTCAAACGATAATACAGATTAGGAAAATCTACAGATATAAATCAACAACACTTCTAAATACACAGGAAACCTGCAATTTGATAATCGGGTTTTTCCGCAATAAGTTAAACGATAATAACTGCAGTTTGATAATCAGGTTTTTCGGCAATAAGTTAAATGATAATACAGATATAAGTCAATAACACTTCTAAATAAAGTAAACTAAGAATGTATTCCACTGCGTGTCCTAAATCCCCACCCATAAAAACCTATGACCACCGTTTTCGTAGGAAAATATGCAGGGAGTAGGGATTAATGAGTGGGCCTACATAAGCTAATGTTGCCAAAATACTATTCCTGATTGACTTTGGGAGCTACGGTTGGACGCCATGGACCAACATTAGTAGAGGAAATTCTGGGATTTTTCTCACCAAAGAACCGATAGCCTGTCGAAACAGAATACTGAGTAAGCTTCGTTATTCAGGATATTGGCAAACCGTGGCATTTTATTCTAAGCAGAATGATCCGAACGTAATGGCCCGGACCCCATTTAGAGTAGCAAAAAGAATCAGGCGAATTATAGCTCAAAACGTCTCAGATGGGTATTTTACAAGAATACAAAATTAATTCTAGTGTAAGGTTAGCTTTATCATCAATAAATGATTTCTGTGATCGACAGGCTAAAAATACATTTCTACCTAGTATTAAGATAGCCTTATTCTCAATTTATATCAATAATTTTTCGCATTAAGATCTCAATTAAATAAAATGTGCAGCTTCGGACATCTGTCCAACTCACTCTTTAAATTTCTATCTTCAGCAGTGCCCAAAAGCGCCACGTTGGAGTCCTTCCAGTCATATTCGATGGGTTTCACAAGTTTAGCCATGGCTTTGCGATGAGCCGACGAAGAATGCTCCGACTTATGAGATTTGTTCGGTCTACTGGTTGTCTGACTCTGTCGTTCGCGTGAGTTCGTCACCAGGCGGTGTCTGTTCGATTTTCTTCCGCTTTATGTAGTCTCCTTGGCCTGACCTTCATGTGCGTAATAACACACGACGTTTTAAACCGCAAGGAGGTCAACAAGCCTGTTGATGGAGTCACATAGCGAATACTACACTCCACTAACAACCCCCTCCATCTCACAAGCCTACCTATGGCTGCAGTCTTTTCAAAACAAATGAAATGCATTGCACCATGCAAGCAGAAAAATAAATAAGCTGTTCTACGGTTATAAATGGCAGCACTGATAACGAATAAGGCGTAGACAGTATAATGGTAGATAGACGCTCACCGATCGATTAAGGAATGCACTCATCCCGTTGTGCCTTGTAGCGCGCTCTCGAGCCACGCCAGCAACCGCTCATCGGCTAGCATATATTATAGGCAGAAAAACATAGCTGACAAAGAAAAGGCAGACTGGAATGGCCATTGCCGACTTATTTGACGCCATAAGCCAGGCATACCCAACCCCAGGTGTTGTGGCATCCGAGGCTTGAGACCACGACCTTGCTGGCTAGAAGTCTAAGGCCCTAACCACTGCGCCAGGGGCCTGTTGCCTTGCCGGTTTGGATTGGGAACATACAAAATGGTGTGTTGGAGTTAGTTCGCCCATCGCAAGGGATAATGTCCACTATATGCCCGAGAGCAGGGGCGGTGACTACATTCAGGTATAGTGAAAGTTGACGTGCCACTATCTACCCCATTGTAAACCTTCTTCCCGCTTTATCCGGGACAAGACAAAGTCGAGATGACCGAGCAGGAATCAAGCGTAAGGCGCTTTCGTCAGATGCAGCCAGAAACAGCGCCTAACTTAGTCTTAAGTGGCAGTAGCCTTGAGCACTGGTACTACTGCACCCTTTACGCTCACTTACCCATA